CATGGATCGAAGGGCCCAGGTATGGAAAAAAAAAAAAAAAAAAAACGTTCTTGAAAAAAAAAAAGTTATGCACGGCGTGATAGAATCTTCACGATCCCACAGGACCGCCACTGTCGATTGGCGCATTTCAGCAACGATGTGATAGAACCGAACGACCGGCCAACCCCAAACGACTGGGACGATCCCCCTTGGGCCCAAGGCCAACTGTCCCGCAGCATTCTCAACACCGGATGCGGGTTCTCGCGGGGGCGTGACGTGAGACCCGCTATTCACTTAAAGATAGTAAGGGAAGAAGAAAAGGCCAAAGAGAATACACTCGAGGACAAATGAGGAAGAGGATCACCAAGTAAGAAACAAGATTTCCCTACATCCACCCAAGCTAAGTCTGATTATGTCACGCCAAGACACTCTCTGTACCAACAACTGCAGAGGGTAAAGTCTGATTATGTCACGCCAAGACACTCTCCGTACCAACAACTGCAGAGGGTAAGGTACATTCTGAGTGGCATTTCTGGCTGAATGCCGGCCCGCACAAAAAATAGACGACAGTCAGTACATCAGCTTTGTCTGGGCGATGGTCTACGTGCATCCTCCTAGAACTCGTATAGCCTGGCTTAACCTGTAGTTGATTGGCTAGAATGTTCTGCATTCATTACTTACAGCTGTACACCACATTTGCCACAATAAAGTCTATTCCATAGCACGTGCAACACTTCACACGTCGGCTGCGTTCGCAGATATTCCCGGCTTTCGGAATGTGTACGCTTCCTCCCCGACCTGGCGAGGATGGAGCAGGATTGACAAATTCAACTCACATTCACTATCACTGCTAACAACACATGACTTCAGAAATATTGCTCCTATTAGAACGATGGTACGCCACACATCCACAAACACAGAACACACAACGCCGCCTTCATTACCTTCTCACACTGCCTCGTTCATTAACTCCTCAAAATACCACAATAGTTCTCAGTGTGTCAATTTCTTTCTTTGTAGACACACTTCTACAAATCCTCGTAACAATACATCGGAACTTTTGTCTCCTCCAAGGGAAACCCTTTCTGCAGTTTGCCAAGCTCTTCTCTTTTAGGAAGCACTTTGACAAACCCTCATAACAATGAATCAGAAGCTTTTTTCTTCTCCAGAGGAACTTAAGGGGGTCGTCAATTTTCTACGTATGGTAGGCCAAGCAAGGCACCACTGACTACATGGCACTCTCCTCTTCTTCAAGTGTCCTGCAGTCCTCTTTTTTCCAACAAGCCTCGCTATGCAGCTTCTAAAGCAACAACCAAGAGCTCTACCCCTATCACACAAGCCAAAACCTATGATGAAGTATAATGCCAAAAATCCCAAAACACGTAGGCTCCTCGGCATACCATGATCCATCCGTCAATACTCACCCTATCAACAACCTCGGTATTGCACAGCAACCACAGTCCCGATTCAGCATGTTCTCTACACCGCTACGATATTCCGCACCAGAGAATGATGCAGCCTCTCTGTCTCCAGTCCCCTCTCATGGCACTTTTTTCGAAGAAGAGCAGAGTTTCTGGAAATCCCGCTTTCTGCTTTTCAGGGAAACTGTTCGATGTCCCAGGGCTCACAACGAAACAGACCACCTCAAACAACCCTGCAGCTGGCAGTTGGTTCACAGGAAATGCATGGCTGCCTTGAGAGACAGAACGAGCATAGCGACTTCCTTGTCCACAGAGATGCCTTCATTCTTCAGCTTTAATAACTCTGTTCACGGCTGAGAGGACTCCTGCAAACTTGTTAACGGAAAAAAAACGCCTTCATTCTTCAGAGCTAACAACTCTGTTCACTGCTCAGAGGACTCCTGCAAACTGCAAGGAAAACGCAAACACAGTACGGTGGCAGGGCGGGCAATTGTTTCAATGAGGTGCAACACACTTCATTGTAACCAGATGCAAGCAAAATCAATAGGCTCAAGCATGCATCCCTGGGACTGCCTACGAAGAGTCCGCGGACAGCGGTCGCTCGTGGTTTTTGCAAATGCCAACACACGACAGACTGCCACAAGAGTCGGCAAAACAAGCGGCTAACGTTGCTTGCATTCAACTCACCTTCCATCCAGAGATCGCTCTCTTCTATTCCGTCCATCACTGCTGTACACCCTGAAAGACAAAGACAAAGAGAAGGAAAAATGCAGCATTTCAGCCTATCCATGTCTTTTTTTTTAAATTAATATCTTTTTTATATAATTTGCCAATTTGGACCATTTCTCTATTCATGCGTTCCACTTTTAATCGGATGTCCCGGAGGACTCCTATACAATGTCTAGTAGTATACATGTTTCTGCACTCGCCTCAGAATTAGCTTTCAATCTAGGGTATGACGTCAGTATCCTTAGGGTATGACGTCAGTATCCTTAGGGTATGACGTCAGTATCCTCCCAGCTGCAAATGCTCGGTCTGAGCGTCTGGCCATCATTCCGCAGTTACCAACCCATAAATCTTATCTATCTATTGCAATGAAATATGTAATAAACTTTACTACATAAATAACTAGGCTAGTATTCAACCTCCCGGTGAGGCATGACGCCAGCCTTTACTCAAACTGAAAACGCATTCACAGACTCTGGCTAAACATGTCCTAGCAGAATTGCACAGGGAAGGATTGTGCGACATACCCTGCGTCCTAGGAGAATTCCATCAGGAAGGACTGCGTGACCTAACTCGCCCCTTGGCAAAGACCCCCCCCTCTAACAACAAAACAAGAGGAAAACGACAGATCGACACAGACTGGAGAGACTGACTAAGTTGAACGCATGCACGGCGTGGAATCATGGCTTAGGCCAGCATTCTGGCAACAAGCAACCAGCATATATATACAAGAAGGGCCAGTGCGGCTTCAGCTGCATGACTAAGTAGGTGAGTGGCCTATGGAGTCACTGTGACTCAGAGGGACACTGAACGGCTGTTTCAGGAAATGACACAGGGAGGAAGAAACCAGGTAATAGCAAGGGAACATACCCAGCTCCGCTTCCGTTTCCTCAGCGGCCCAGCCTCTCAGCTACTTTAGCTGCCAGAACCGACGTACAGACACTAGCCTCACTGCAGGGGAAGCAACAAGACATCCCAACCGAAATCCCTTCATCAAGCAACACAGCACATTCCCAGTTAAACCCTAAACCCTACCTCCCAGCCTAGTTGACCTTAGGCGAGGGACATCACCACTAAAAGATGACCTGGATTTTTGTTTTAAAAGACATTCAAATTGTCTCTATAACGCGGATCTCACACACACACACACACACACACGCACGTATGGAGAACTCGATCAAGGGAGGAGAAGAGGAAGGAGAAGAAGAAAGAACCTCTCTCTCTCTCTCTCTCTCTCTCTCTCAGCCAGGCACTAACCAGCGAAAAGCCAGCGTCTTGCGCTGTGATGCAGGGGGAGCACCCTGCAGTCTATCTCCAGCGATGACACCCAAGGTGAGTCTCCAGGTGAGTCTCCACTCCCCTGGTCTCCGCCCTGATCCTACTCCTCTAACCTCTATGCTAGCACAGCTACAACCTCCAGAGCTGCTTCAGCAGCGTAGCAGCATGACTCCTGAATGGCCCTATAATGAGGTCAGCCCTAGCGCTGGGCCTGCTGGATTTTGTACTGGTCTGCATCCTGGCCCATCCGGCCATAATGCCGATCGACGGTCCAGGATGCAGGCCTAAATCCTGGTGCTGAATCCTGGCCTCAACACGCCCTGCCTAGGTCCCAACCAGACGTCCAGGCTCCTCTGCCGAGTCGTGAAGGTTTCTGTACTACAGGGACAAAACAGGCTGGACCAGAACACAGTTCACCATGAATCTCAGTGGTACTCGACCTGAAAACGGCTGGTAGCCCAAAAATGCTGAAAAGACGCATCCAGACCAGACGAACCTGGAACAAACAAAAATGAACTCAGAACAGACAAACGACTGAGAAGTTGTGAGAACACAACAGAATTGAACTCAGATAAATGCAGACAATCCCAAAGTAAAAGAGGGAAAGCCCGAACTCCCACTCCACGACCCCAAAACCAGTGTCGGGCCCTGCATGGGAGCTGCACATACCACAGGAGGTCTTTCATTATCAAGACACTTCAGTGCATATTTGGTGTGATCTTGCTTTGCTTTCTGCTTTCAGTTTGGGCTCAATGATATCTGGTCTTCTCTGAGATGTTGCAATTTGGTTTATTGCTGTTTGCATTGCTTATTTCCTTGCACATTCCACAAAAACCAAAAAAAAAAAAACATGACGGATCTCCTGCGACAGCAAAACAGATTCGTGAATGTGTCCGAGACCTTTTCTCCTTTAGGGAAACTCTGACATGTCTCTGGCGCGCTCTCCCATTTTTGTAACTTTGCTTTACGCGATGTCGGACGCTCCTGACACTCCCTCACACATCTCGTTGCACATCCCACATTTTTTCTGCAATGTGAGGCGCAGACCTACAGCTTCCCACTATCCGCCATCTGCCATGTGAGGCTCATTCGCAGCAGCAGGTGTCGACAAAACACAGCGTTTCAGGACAAATCCCAACAGTCCGTTCCACCATCCGATGATGGGAAAAGGGCCACGATCGCCAAGGCCGGAAACGACACCTGATAAACTTAGTAGTTTGTCATAGATACTCGAACATGTGATCATATAGACAGGAAAGCATGTTCTAATCCCACTATTACGTACTGCAGAGGACACACCATCCAGCACACCGCCACAAACATGGATACAGGCAAGGCCCACCTTCTTCTGCCTCCATCTGCTTCCTCAGACACATTCTCCCTTCTTGGATGTCCTGACCCATATCTCCCAGAAGGTGATTCTGAATACTGCCTTGCACGAGAAGATATAGACCGCGACTGTGACGATCGGTGCCGATAATGCCCCTGCAACGGCGAGGTTGGCCGGCTATATCTTCGAGCATTGTACGAGTCCCTAATCATCCACACACACATCGTGAATTGGCTTCGTGAAAAAAATCCTACAGCACCGTAACAGCAGTCATTCGCAGCCAATTACCACACTGATTTCCAACCAACCACATCTCACAAACCAGACATTCAGATTGTAGTTCCAAGTTCCAACCTACAAATCAGTGGTGACACTTCACAAAGGAGAGAACCATGTCGCTAGGAGGAACGCATATCAATACTAGAGAAGTCCTGGCCTACCGTGTCCTACCAAAGAGGCTGCAAGGGTGACCCGGAACCCCTCTACCCTTTTATAAAATTTACAGGCCAACGCACCAACAAATCCGGGAAATAATCCACACAGGCAAACCATCTCCACAGTACTCCAATGCAACTTCATCTTCTTGCCTGCCATGTCCTATCAGACAGGCTCCAAAAACAGTGCACAACCCCTAGACCCCTATAGACTTTCGTGCAAAGAAGAAGTACATCACATCCCAATTTAGACAAGCAATACGCTCGTCATAAATAGAAGGAGGAACTGGAACCGCTTCAAAGACAGAACTATGCCATCAACAATGAAACGATTTCCCTATGCCACCCACATTCAGAATGTTCAAAGTGCAATCGCATATCCACACAAATTTACGCACTTTTTCCAGCAGTACTCCGAGCTGTCTATTTCCAATATTTTCTCCCGGGCAGACACAGGATTCAACGAGACAGGATCTCAAACAGGTCTCAAAAAGCAACAAGCCAGGATCAACAGAGAGCACAACAGGTGCAACCATCAGACACACCCAGATTACATACCGTCTCGGCGGAGAACTAGAGTCAGTGGGTGACCGGGAAACTTCACGTCGATGCCTTCGGGGGGCAGGTGACACACTTCGGGAATTCGATCTGCATCCATTTCACCAGTCCGTGGACCAGAGATGAACAAACAAGGGCATCCCAAGAAAGCAAATGCCGAGATCAATTCCCCTCCTCCAGTGCAATCAAACACAAAATCAGATGCCTTCATTAACAGAGCCTATCTGACTTACAGCATTACCACCTTCCAGGCTAAGAGCATTAGATTCACACAGAGTTCATCTTTGACAATTCATAACGTCAGAAAACAGCCCACCTCAAACTGATCCACCAGAGAGAACTCCAAGCACACTCATTGAATCATATCTACACACGGCTAGATGATACATTGCAGCAGCTTCAGTCGCGAGAAAAAAGACAAAATTATCGCTATTACGAGGACAACAGACATGAGTACGACGTTACGTTATTTGTTGTCTCATCATTTCCTCCTCCCCCCCCCCTCTCTCTCTCTCTCTCTCTCATGGCAGAAACTTGACTCCACCCCGATTCAGCCCGTCCCACCAGGCCCACCTTCAATGATGACCAGCCCTAGTGCCGCCACCCAGCCCTGAAGTACCTTCCCTGCTGACACTCCCTTTCCTCCGATGCATACCGCTCGTTTGTCCATCGGTCTTCTAATTTTCTCTCTTTGTTCTTTTTTCTATCCTCTTTCCTTCTCCTCCGCTTGTGCTTTTGCTGCTTACTGTGAGGTGCTTTTATCGTACACTGATCCCTATCGACTATATCCTCATGTGCACAAGGTATGGAAATTGAGCATTACGAAGGACCATGGAAAAAGGGCTTGGTATTGCCCTCGCTTGTGCAGCAAAATCATCAGCCTGTATGCTGCCAGTTTGCTGACCGGCCAACGTCCAGGATGTCTGTGTGGTGCACCGCTTTCCTCCAGCCCACTGCAGCGAAATCCATGTTTCACCACTGCATTTGGCAGGCCAAGAGGAACCGGTGGAAAACCTTCTTTTTCCTTGAGCTTTCAGTTCTTATGCAGTCAAGTCTGCTCTATGTTGCCCATATGACCCGTGGAGACGTTCTGGTCCTCATTGTCGTCGTTCATAAGCTTCGAATCAAAGGTTCATCAAGCACACAAACTATGCTGAGGGGCAGGCGATGGTCCCATATATCTTACAATAAGCACAGAACAAAGCAAAATGAAACGATCCTTGCTGTGGGGTGTTAGCTTGATCCCCTTGTCATTAGAATGACTTGTCATTCCAGTAACGTTTGTCTACACCTTTTTTTTTTCTTTTTTCTTTTTTTAATTTGGACCATTTCTCGATTTATGCGTGTCATCCTTGCGCAGGGGCCATGCTAATCTTCTCTGTATCGTTCCAATTTTAACGGATGTCCCGAAGGACACGTTTGTCTACATCTAACTACCAGTTATGTCTGAAATGACCTACTTTCTTCAGTCACGTGTCTGAAATGACCTATTTTCTTCAGTCACCTGTCTGAAATGACCTATTTTCTTCAGTCACACTGAATAGGCCAGCATTGGTTGAATATCTTCAACATGGCCATCTGAACACAAGGCCGCAAGTGAAGTTTCTCCCCAGAGCTGCTTGTAGAACTGAACCACTCCAGTATTCCATAGCATCATTTGGAAACTACTTCCCTTGTTTACCTTCACCAACCCTCTGTTGTTTCCCATTTCATGCATGAACAATTAGTCAAAAACCTAGGCTGTTTTCCGGGCGCCCGGGCACCCAACTTATGCCCGGGTACACAGTGTGCTACACACCCGGGTGCCCAGCCGGGCATGACACCCGGGCAGGGTTCCGGGCAGCCACAGCGCGCGCAAAAAAAAAAAAAGAAGTCGCATAGAACTGCAATACTAACGACTATTGACCGTCACATCAGAATTCCTCACAGAATCGGAGATTCATTTATAAAAAAAAAAAAAACAGAATCACACTAACGCACTCCCCTTTAAAGTTTAAACCATACCTGCGGCGCATCACGTGCACGTGCGGCGCATAGCGCACGCGTGTGATGCAGCGCACCCCAAGAAATAGGGTCAACAAAAAATGATCAGAAAGGGCAGGCTGTGGTAGCCAAACGTGCCTTTCGCTTCTGAAAATTCCAAAAAAAAAAGGGGCCCACATCGTACTCCTCGTTGGATTCAGTCTAATTACTGAAAGGACCCAAGCAAGATATCAGCTCGCGTCCGGCACCGCAACACAGACATTCATTGAATTCTGGCCGAGACGCGAGCAGGCCAGCAATATATGTTCTGGATTCAAAGTCAAGCCTGTGTTCCAGCAGTTATGGGTTACTACTACTTAAGACAGTAGCTCTCTCTTCTTTTTGTTTTCCTTTTCTTACGTGCAGCGGCCCTAAAGGCCTCGTTCTGTTAGTCACCACTTGCACAAAAGACAAAACATATGGCGGCGTCCATGTTCTAGCGGAAGATTCATTCTAATTTTGGACATCTGGTGAGTAGTCGAAAGAAGCCCTGAAAATCACGTGCTGAGTTAGTCACTTAGTAACCCATAACTGCTGAATCACGTACCTGAATTCTAATCTACACCATACATAGTTGGCCAGCTATTGTCTTGCTATAAGCCTCACGACCACCTCTTACTTGACGAGGAGACCCTTGCGAGCTATTTGCAGGGTCTTTTCCGATTACCCGCAGGGGTTTTCGATTTATGTGAAGGGCCCTTTGCATGCTCTCTCTCTCTCTCTCTCTCTCTCTCTCTCTCTCGCGCGCGCGCGCGCTATGTAGCTGTTTGAACGCATTCGACGCGCGCTCACGTTCAAACGCGTTCAATAGCGCCACGTGGCATACGGTGGGAGAAAACTGAACGCACACCCCCCACCAGTCTGTGTGTGTGTGTGTGTGCTTGTGTGTGTGCGTGTGTGTGCGTGTGTGTAGAAGAGCGCGCTCCTGTGTGTGTGTGTTTGTGAGCACTTGCGCGCAGTTCACACATACGCACGAGCACACACACACACACACGAACACACACACACACACGCACATACGCATGAACACACACTCACACACACACACACACACACACACACTTCAGCGCGGGTTTTTGTTTTTTGCTTTGCCCGCCACAACTTCGTCTGCCTCCTCCTCTTCTTCGTCCTCTTCATCCTCCTCACCCGCCGCCTCCTCTGAGAATGTGCCATGTGGAACTTGTGGTTCTTTTTGTTTTTTGGACGCGCCAGAACTCCCCTCTTCTCCTCCTCATCTTCTTCTTCCTCCTACTCCTCTTCTTCCTTGTCCTCCTCCCCCTCCTCCTCCTCGTCCTTCTCTTCCACCACATCTTTCTCCTCCTCCCTTCGGCGTTGCTCCCCCCATTGCTGCCGCTGGCCACGACGCCACCGCCGCTGCCACTGGCCCCAACGCCACCGCCATAGCCCCCAACGCCGCCGCCACTGCCCCCATGCGGTGGCCTATGCTGAAACAGTCTGGCATAGTCATACTTTGTTTTGAGTGTATAGCGAATATGACAACAGTGTCACACACACACAGTTAGGTAAGTTTTTCTTTTTCGTTTTTTTTTTTTTTTTGTTGTTGTTGTTTATTTCCCGTTTCTGTACAGCCACAAACCCGTTCAAGTGGAGAATGTGCGTTCATTAAGCGCGCATTCAAAGCGTTCAATTTCTGAATGCAAAACCCACGTTCAATGAACGCGCAGTTTCACAGCTCTCGCGTGTATACACACATCATGGCTGCTTTTTTTTTTTGCGAACCGGCAAACAGCACACCACACACTTGCGCCGCAGGTATGGTTTAAACCCCTCTAGCCCCTATAAAACCACTTTATGGGGGTCCCTTCCTCCTCTTTGACTGCCGACTCTCAAAAATAGAAATGAGCCCGGATTCGGGGTCCCGTGGGAGACCGCAGGGGAAAACAAAAAAAAAACATTGTTTTTCTTTTCTCGCACGCCTGGGTACCCCACCCGGGCAGGACCAGCCAGGCGTGACAATCTTCCTAGTCAAAAACTGGTGCCAAATAGGCGGTTTCCAACACAGCGTCTGTGTTTCGTAAACATCGGGAAAGACATCATTTCTCAACTGTCATAATCATTTGGTTTGGTACTTGACAGATGCAACCCCTAAACATGCCTCATGTAAAAGTATTGCCTTGCAAACAACATTATGTCTGTATCCCTCAAGCAGATCACTTTACCTGCTCTACCCTTCCAGAAATCATAAAAAACTCTGACCTGTTGCGGCTTCGCTCGCAAGAGAACAGGAGAGAATGTCAGAGAAGGTTGTTTTTCTTTTTCCCTATGTTTGTTGCCATAGTTGACTTTTGATTGAGGTGTGCCGTGCAAACTACCTTTTTAAATGACCAGTACAAGGCTCCAGCCGAATTAAGGATCACAACTGAGGCTCTCCAAAAATATCGGAGGTTTGGGGCAACCTGACCAAAATGGCTGGCTGCGTTAGCCACAAGCGAGACAAAACCACCAAGCTGGCATTTTGGCAATCCTTGGCGCGCAGTGTGATAAAGGAATTCTGCCACGTACAAAAGCAGCTCGGATGTACTGGCCGCTTAACCCCAAAAAGTTATACATATGTTCTATTCGGATGATCCCTGGAAATTGGGTTTTCAGAAATTGCTTTTTCTTTTCGAATTGTATTCAATTTTTTTGCGGGGGGGGGGGCGCCCGGCTGACTGGCGGGGCCCCAGGGGAGGTCCCGGGCGGCCTGGCCAGGCAGGGCACCCGGTTGGGGGTCGGGCCCCCCCAGCGCACTCACCTGTCTGAGGGTCTCGGACCCCCTTTTCGCTGCTGTTGGCCTCCCGCAGGCCTACCGGGTCCGACCAGCCCGAAAAACCGTCCCGTCGGGCCCGGTAGGCCTGCAGGATTTTTGAAAATTTGTGACGGCTCTGTCGATCCACCATGACCAGCGGCCACAGAGCCGGTGGATCGAGGTGCCAAATTTCCCCCCGTTCAAGCCTGGTATCGGCTGGGGTGGTCTGCCACTCGCCCCCCAACACGATCGAAGTTGCTCCTCCGCCGTCCTGCTGCGCCATCGCCTGTCGCCCGTCGCCATCGCCATCGAGAGTCCTGCTGCAGCTGCTACGACAAAGGCCCCAACTGTCCCGCCGCTGCTGCTATGATGAAGGCCCCGATGACAAAGGCGCCGTTCTTCTTCTTCTTCTTCTTCTTCTTCTTCTTCTTCTTCTTCTTCTTCCTGTCGTAATCGTTTAGGGTTGTGTTGCACGGGCAGACAAAGGCCCTGCTGCTAGGGTAACTGTTGCAGGTAACGACGAAAGCCCCGACGAACTCCTTCTTGATCATTCGGTAGGCCACACCAGATACGACAAGCCGTCCACCTACCCCCCCCCTTCTCGGCTCGTCTTCTTCTTCTTCTTCTTCTTCTTCTTCTTCTTCTTCTTCTTCTCTCCTCCTCCTCCTGTCGTATTCTTCGTCTTCCCCTCGTCCCCCTCGCATTTTCGTCTTCCTCGACCTTTCTTCTTCGTCGTCTTCCCCTTCTCCCCCACTCGTTTTCTTTCTCCTCCTCCTCTTCTTCTTCTTCTTCTTCTCCTTCTCCTTCTTCTTCTTCATCTTCTACTTCATCAACATTCGGTGGGTCACGTGAGACACAACAGGTGAAAAAAAAAAAAAAAAGAAGGTCGTCCTCCTCCCCTTCCTTCTCCGCTTTTCTTCTCCTCCTCTTCTCGTCGTCCTCTCGTCTTCTTCTTCTTACCCTCCCCCTCACATTTTCATCTTTCTCCTCGACCTTTCTTGATCTTCTTCTTCTTCCCCTCCTCACCTCTTCTTCTTCTTCTTCTTCTTCTGCTCCATTCGCTCAGTCTACATCTCTCCTCTTCTTCTTCTTCCCTTCCTTCCCTACTCCCTCCCTGCCTTTCTTCATACCCTACCGCCGCCGCCATACCCTACCACCGCCATACCCTACCACCGCCATACCCTACCGCCATACCCCGCCGCTGCCATACCCTACCGCCGCCATACCCCACCTCTGCCATACCCTACCGCCACACACCGCCGCCATACCCTACCGCAACCATACTTCTTCCCCATCTTCTTCTTCTTCTTCATCATCATTCGGTAGGTCACGTGAGATACGACAGGCCGTCCACCTAAACTTATCGGCTCATCTTGTTCTTCTTCTTCTTCTTCTTCTTCTCCTCCTCTCATCTTCTTAGTCTTCCCCACTCGTTTTCTTTCTCCTCCTCTTCTTCTTCTTCTTCTTCTTCTTCTTCTTCTTCATCATCTCCTTCTCCTTCTATTTCGTCGACATTCGGTAGGTTGGGCATGATAACCCGACTGTCCCTCCTGGTTACACTTATCGATGTAATTTGCCTTGGGCACCGCGCCCGATAATAATAAAGCCATTCTACGGTTTTAGGCAAAAAAAGGAAAAAAAAAACTTTTGCCTGAAGGTTCTGTCAAAATTCACAACCAAAGTCAAGAAAAAGTTACAAACAAGAGTAAAAATATTTTTTACAACAGATCAAGAGTTCACATTGAATTCACTTGGGTACAGTAAGTTGGGCATCCAGGTAAACCCTCGGTTGACTTTCCAGTTTCCAGATGCTTGTGCTTAATCCTATTCAGAAAAACAGCTTCTGCGGACAGAAATGTTTCCCCCTAAAACACGCATTCAAAACCAAAAGGTACAAGAGAGAGCAACAAAACATAAATCATGTTCATTGTTCACCTGTTCAATCCTGAGGTCGCCTACCTTGAACTACGAACATCACCAATAACAATCAATCAACAAAAGTGTCATCCCATGCACGGGACAAGCTTGGTACCAACCTCGAATACCGGTACGCTCTGGGTGAGCGCGATCGAGAGCGTGAGTGCAACAATGAGCTAGAACGAGAGTACCTCACACGTCTTGGTGGAGGCGATGGTGAGTATCGTGAGCGTGAGCGTGACCTCGACCATGCTGCAAATCAAAAACAAGGCAACCGGCAAAGGACACTATCAGACGCACTGGCAAGAATACACAGCAACATCATATGAACCAATATCATATGAGATGAACCAAAACCATATCCGACTTGTCTGGAATGTCTCAATTTGGTCAGCTAGACCGAGCAAGTGGTGGATTGGCCACCTTGAGCAGTAATGGCGGCCGCTGGATTGTAGAGCTAATTACATGAACGGGCAACACAAGCACCATCAAATTTCGTGCTTCAACCTGGGGGTGATGCAAACATAATCAATACCCTCACAAAGAGAAGTCTTGCACACACCAGAGAGCTGTGTATCACAGCCTGAAAAGCCCCACATATTACAGCCTTATGCAGCCACAACAGACGTGCATGTCGATCTGACCCATCTCTGAATGTGACCGGATAATGTACGCTGTAGATGATCATTAACTTATCACCATAACAAGACCCACAACACTATAGTAGAGCAATTGCACAGGCAGCAAACCAGTCTAAACACATCTGGTTCAGGGGAGGTGTAACTCACGTCCATAACCGTAAGGTGATCTGCGACGACCCATTGGTCCAAAGAAACCTCGAAAAGAACTCCTGCCAACAACATGCAACAACAGCAGCTGCCATCAGCTAATACAGCATGTACCACAGAGATACCACCACATGCCCGTATATTTTTCCACTTTCTGAGTGGATTATGTTGAATCCGGAAGACGATCTCGACGAGTGAGGACTGATAAGGCACATGTATCGATGGTGAACATTGATCGACTTTTAGATTCTTGTACTAAAGTCAATATGACAACTCCACTCAGAGGAATTCTGGAAGAAAGGCAACATGACAGTCAATCCTCCATGAGAATGGAGCAATCAATGCTGATCAGGGCTTCTTCAGCTGAATTGAGGGGAGTGTGTGGGTCCACTTAAGGCATTTCTGTGACTTGCCGGGGGAAAAGTAACGGGACTGAAGCTTGCAAAAGAATGGATATCCAGCCAGAACCGAAACAAAACCAAAAAAAAAAAGAACAGCAAGCAAAACCCGTAGAGACGCCCACTTCTCAACGACTTGTGTGGCACATGGGACCACCAGAATGATAATTCCGATGCCCCGTGTTCATATTATCTTGCATCAATCTATGCCCTAACTTTCCAGCTCAGATACACTATAAAAGACGACTACGCTAGACAAGAACTCTCTGTTCTGCAGCAATATAAGACATTGTCAGGGCTCATGCTACTGTTGACGACAACCTACACCATACCTGCAAATGCATTCATTTGGTTTTGATTGGACCCAAAAAGAGAAAACAGAAAACATCTGAGAGGTTTTAGGGAGTTACCTGCTCTCTCTCTCTCTCTCTCTCTCTCTCTCTCTCTCTCTCTCTCTCACACACACACACACACACACACACACACACTCTCTCCTCCCCNCCCCCCCCCCCCCCCCCCCCTGTGCACCCCCCCCCATGCTACTGTCGACAACAACCTACACCATACCTGCAAATACATTCATTTCAATCATTTGGTTTTAAGTGGACCCAAACACAGAGAAAACAGAACACATCGGCGAGATGTTAGGGAACAAACTGCTCTCTCTCTCTCTCTCTCTCTCTCTCTCTCTCTCTCTCTCTCTCTCTGGTGTGAGTCGGTGATGAACTGCTTCGGTCCGTGTTGGATGTGTGGACTGGCTTGTCTACACTCTGCCACTGCCTTGCTGCCGCTTCCCATGGTCCTTGCAGCTGGTTTGCTCACCGTGTAGTGTGGCTGCTGTGGTCTTGCCTTGTGCTTTGCTGCGCTGTTGCCCTGCTGCCAATCCATGTGCCCTGCGTGCACTTTGCCTGTGTGGTCTGCAGTTTGGCTGCTTTGTTGATGTTGCCTTCTGCTTCACTGCACTGTTGCCGTGCTGCTCGTCCGCTTGAATTGTCTTTCCAGGCAGTATGCTTGTGTGTCGTGTCATTTTGGTTGCTTTGTTAGCCCTGCATTATTGCCTAGCTGCACATCCTCATGCCTTGCCTTGTGCTGTGGGGTACCTGTTTGGGTTGTGGTTTGGCTGCTCCGTCAGTACTGCCTTGTGCCTTGCAGCATTGTTGCTTTGCTGCTTGTGCTGCGCCTTCAACAAGAGCCAAAGGGTTCATGACTCAAAGCATCAAAATATCAGGATTCTGCCGATTGTCGGGGTTTCAGCCTCCTGATGAGTCGCTGCAATTCTGACGAAACAATCTGCCATCACCAGTGTTTGTTTTATATTTTTCGCTTTTCTGTTTTCCTTGTCGGCTGTACAGTGTATTTTCCCTGCATTGTGTGCTTTGTGTGCTTCTGTGTTGTCTGCCCTCCTGCCTTCCCTGTCCCCTCCAGCCGTGTTGTCTCACTGTCTTTTGCTTCACCCGTGCCCCCCAGTCGATGTGCCTGGTTGCCGCCTGTCATCCAACAGAGCACTGCCTCCCTGTCCCTTGCTTCGTTGTTTTACATTTTCCGCCCCCTTCTTCTGTGTGCGAGGAATCAGGCCCTTAGCTGTGCAAAAATTAGCCCTGCCCGGCCTACGTGAAGGCTGGCCAGGAAATTGGACGTGGCCCTCAGGGGTGGCTTAGACGCAGTCAACCTCTGCAACAGACCGGTAGGCCCAGCGCACCAGTCAGTTGCTGAGGCTGGGCCTGCATGCTGACCTCATAGGCCCGTGACTGCCTACTAGGACAGCAAGCAGCCTGTACATGGCCAGGGCGCAGCCTCTAGCCAGCACAAAAGAGCAGAGGCCGGCCATCCAAACACATTCGAGCATCTACCAACGACGCATTGACAGGGCATGACCAAAATGTCTGGTGTGCTTAGTGGAATTACTTGTAGGTGTGGGACAGCAGAAGGCAGGGAAAACAGACCCTGAACATCTATGCCTTGAATGCAGCGGTAAGAACCAGAACACACACAGTAGTACATCACAAACAAACTCGTGCAAGGAAAGATGGAGTGAGAACACCTATAAGGTCAGCATGCACAGCCATGCTGCTGAAAAGCAAAGCCGGCCAGCCAAACACATACGAGCTGACCGGCCATGATGCTGGAGAGCAAAGCCAGCCAGTGCCCGACAGAGAGATGCTGAGGCAGCCAGAGAGGAGAGAGAAGTGCCAGCAATAGCCATCTGGGCGCGAAGTTCGCTGGATGGTGGAGGTGAGGAGGTGGAAGGGAGAGAGAAGGGAGGCAGTGGGAACAAATGGCATACCTGATGTTACGACGGAGTCTTCAGGCAGCATCAGAAGGAATGGGACATGTAGTTAGGCTACACTGGTAGGAACGTAGGAAGTAGAATGGGCATTCAGGATGAAAGTACTGTAGGGATACTACATTGTTGTTGTATTGATGTTGGTGCCAGTGGAAGGGCTTTCTTCGAATCTTTATCAAGCGACTTTGATGTATTGCTCATTCCTATCTGGTGTGCATTTTGCTTCCTCCTGCTTCAACTCTGCTCAATTATGTCTGGTCTTCTGTAAGATGTCGCGTTTTTATAGGTGTCCTCACTCCATCTTTCCTTGCATGAGTTTGTTTGTGATGTACTACTGTGTGTGTTCTGGTTCATAGCACTGCATTCCATGATCTTGAATTCGTGATAACAAGGCGCCGCTTATACACTGAGCTTGACCACATGAAGACCACAATAAGTGTATAATACGACTCAGTGCTCTTGTAACTTATGGCCTTCTCCCGGAATGTATGCAATAACCTCATTTCGATTGGTTAATCTCACTTTAGCTATTTTGCAAAGTGCAGCAATTCGGACATCTCCGCCGAATTGCTGCTAGTCTGTCACGCCAGAAGTCGCGGGCTGGACAGCATATACGATCCGGAATTTCTGGACTGTTCTCACGCGAAGCGTGCAATACTCCAGGTAGACCGAACATTCAAGAGTGCAACTTAAGTTATAGAAGGTGACATTACCACCGCCACCAGGAAGTATATATTATAGCAATCAATAAAGAGTAGCTTCTGGAAACATTGGTATTGAAAATCTTAAAAAAACATTGTTCAGGATCTCTTTTCCCTGCCTTCTGCTACTGGATGCATCTGTCCCACACCTACAAGTAATTTCCATGAAGCACACCAGACATTTTGGCCACGCCCTGTCAAGTTTGCACTAATTGCGTTGTTGGTAGAGTATACTACGGCTGCTAGGAGAGGAGCACGCCACTTTTGCGGTCCGCAAGGGAGAACCATATCAATCTGGTGGTGGGAACAGATCCCGACCACAGTAGAAAGGAGGCTGGCAACAGCAGCAATCGGAAGGAGGAGGTTATTACCCTTAAGGCCTGTGCAGATATCCCCCGCACACAGAGCTCGAGCATGGTGAGCCCTGTAAGCACGTGAATTTATCAGAAAGTCAGTGACATCAGCGCAGAGATTAAGTGCCAGTGATCCAAATGCGGGAAGAAGGGCCACATTACCCCCTACTATGCCATGCAGCAGCAGCCAGCAAAAGCAGGGGGCCAGTATAAGTATCAGCCACATCTACGGGGGAGCTATAAAGAACTTGTATTTAGGAATGAAGGTCTTAGATTGAACGAGCCAGTGGTCTCAGGCATGGCTAGCACTCCATTGATGTGTATAACTCAATACGTAGAATTCCTGTTGGGCGGGTTGGTGGGGGGAGAGGAGGGGAGGAGAGAAGAGAGAGAAACACTACACTCCTTGACTCTCTTGGTAGAACAGAACTTACCTTTTGATATACTCCTTGGGACAGACTGGGGCACAGCAGCGAAGGCCAATAATTAAGTTGGAAGAGGTTGTGTTCGCTGCCTGATCAAGAATGCAGCAAGAAGAAGGTACATTTGTATCATGCATCCAGCCAAAGATCCTCGCTGTTCATGTGTTGTATGAGTACCCCAGCATTCTCTAGATTCGTAGTCAAGTTCAGAAAGCCAGATGAAGTCTACGTTGCATTTATGAGACTGCAGGAAAGAGGTAAGGAAGGAGTAGGTAGCTCGGTCAAAGAACAAGTAAAAAAGATTCTGCTCAAGCCCAGAGGCTCTTGGATAAATACATAGATTAGGCAGAGGAGCCCCGGGAAGCAGCAGAGCGACCCATCAAGCATCACATAGAGATTGAGCTGCATAGCAGTGCCCAGTGTACCGTATGTCTCAATGTGAGTTGGAAGGACTGCAGAGGCAGTTGGATGAATTGGTATGCAAGGGGTGGCTTACCCCGAGCTCGTCACCCTGCGGGGCACCCGTCTTGTTTGTACCTAACAAAGAATGGCACTGTCGTAAAGAACGTTGAAACACTACCCTGTATTGACAACCAGACGGATATCAGCGTTGCAGGTACTTTTCCAAGATAGACTTGCAAAGCCTGTGTATCATCAGACAAAGATCATGCCACAAGACCAGCTCAAGACTGCCTTTAGAACTACGTACGGACACTACGAATTCGTAGCGATGCTTTTTGGACTGAAAAATTCCCCTGCAACATTTTAATGATGAATGGATAGAATGTTCTGTGATGGGCTTGACGCATTCGTTGTGGTCCATCTTGATGACATCCTAATCTTTGGTAAGACCTTAGAAGAACATCAGGAGCACCTAGAGAAAATACTAAGTAAGGTGAGAGAATCTAAGTCCAAGTTGGGATACCCAGTGCTAAAAACAGCAGACCCGTCGACAACATTCGTAGTCACGGCAGATGCTAGCCAGTATGGGATAGGGGCAGTCCTACAGCAAGACGATGGCGAAGGATACTTCCCTATAGAATTCATGTCTAGGAGGCTACCGTGCAAGAAAAGAGCAGAGTCTATCTATGAGAGGGAGCTCTTCGCACTATATAGAGCATTACAGACATGGAGACGCCATCTACTTGATAGGCACTTCAGGGCCACTCGGATCACGAGACCTTGTGCTGGTTGAAGACCCCGGCCCGAAGTTTAGATTCAGGGCATACAAAACTCGACAGTTATTTTTAGGTGTGTAGGTCCCTACAGGTGGGTACGCAGTCCCGAAGGCCGCTACTTTCAAATGTCGGAGGGTGACTGCCGCCACAGGGTAGTGGGTCCTCACATTGGAGTCGCAAATCAAAGCCACGGCCACAACATAAGTCCAGCAGCCCTTGGACGTCAACACATTATGCATAGCATTCACTGCAGAAGCGCTGCTGCACTGGTGTGCGTTGAATAACAACAAAGTGAGCGTACTGGTAGTGCGTCCAACAGCGATGGGTGCCGTAGCCGGAGTGTGAGGTGTGAGAGATGTGAGCAAGAGTGGAAGATTCTAAGAGTGCGAGCAAGACTTGTGTGCGCATAGTATCGTCAAACAGAGCTCCCCACCGTAGGCAGAGAGGGAGAAGAGGACATATACATATATATATACATATATTGTCACATTACTATAGAGAAAGAGAGAGAGAGAGAGAGAGAGAGAGAGAGAGAGACTTACCTGCATGTTGAGTGTGGTCCATGGCCGCCGTTAAGGGGACAATTCGGTTGTTTTCTTTGTTGCCGAGACTGTTTAGGGCTTCAATTCTCCTGTGCACTTTATCCATGAGCGGCTTTGTGTGAGGCGTGTGTACGTGTGTGCCATGCATGGTGGTCTCATTGCACTCGCAGCAGGAATGTGAAAGGGTTCCCGAAAAGACCAATCGAACCTGGTAGAGAGAAATCAATGAAGGGGCCATATTATCTGGCAGAGAGAGAGGATGAGGTTGGGACAAGTGGGTGATGTCTAAGGAATGCAACCAGCACTTAAAGATAAAACATGAGAAAATGAGTCCAATGCAGTCAGCATGGCAGGAATGTATGCAATTAGATATCCTTGAGAAGGTCAAATGCATTCAGTAGACAGAGAGGCATAAAGAAGGAAATGGATACATACAAGGAGGAAATGGGTGCTGTAGAGCTACAAATTTATTTTGCTGCCACGCCAGTAAGAAAGAACACTGCACTTACGACTTCGCTAAAAAGCGCAACATACCTTGATCTCTCCTTTTTGCGCATTTCTTGAGGCTTCTTCCGGCTCTCCTCAGCAAAAACAACTGTGATTTCCCGGCCACCAACCACCTTTTTATCCATATGGTACTGTGCATCCACCGCATGTTCTGGCTCCATGAACTGGACAAAGCCAAAGCCCCGCGGTTCCCTGCAACAGTTTGTTTGATTGTTTCACCCACCCACACCAACAAACAGTGAGTCCCCAGACCATAGCCCCTACAAGGAAACTCTCCTTCACCATGGAGCATCACACCGATTAGCAAAGCCATAGAGCCAGAAAAGTCCAGGTGAAAATGAAATACGAGTTGTGTTTATATCCCATAACACCATATTGGACCAAAACCAGATGTCGAGATCCGTAACAACATGCACGAGTCCATACCCAAGAAGTGGGTCCACAACACAAAAGATGCAGTACCATAAAAAGTCGGAAATGCCATGCCCCGCAACATTGCTTTTACATTCCTTCTGATTCCCTCCTTCATTTCCATGGCTTTAACATCGACAAGCTTTGGAAACCCTAGAGAGTGAACAGGGCAAGAGGGAACTAAAAATTTTCCAAATGCCTGCCACATCCCTCAATCTTAACAGTAATGGAGGGCACACAGAGAATTTCAAATGCCTGTCACATCCCCCTATTTTAAGCAGTCATTAACTTTTTGCCCATCTCTCTCTCTCTCTCTCTCTCTCTCTCTCTCTCTCTCACACACACACACACACACACACACACACACACACACACTTCCCCGCACCCTGCCCCGGTCCAGATAACCCCCTCTTCCTCTCCTCTACATGCCCTTTTCACTCACACACCCAGAAATATCAAGACAGTTCATATATACGTACCCACAGCTCTCTGCATAATTTAGAGACTATATCCAATCTTCACTTCGACTTCAAAACTTCAAGACTTCAAACTTGAATAGGATCTGACACCACAGGCTCTGCTTTCCTGGAGAGGGGACCTCCCCCTTCTCATTCCCGACACCCCTTGCATGCCCTTCCTTCCCAACAAAAATTAATAAACCTGGCCTTGCCTTCCATTTCACTTCTCTTCTTTCACTCGTTTCCTGAGAGGAGATTTGCACCAGTCTATCCTCTCAAACGTGAGCTTCATCACCGTAGGAGGAGGAGGTCCCCTTGCAAGTTCCACTTCATCACCAACGTCTTCCGTCCGCATGACATGACGTTTCTACTCTTCTTCACATCAATCTTCAAACCATCTCCATCTTCCCACCTCTTCTTCTCTTCATAACTCGTATTATCTTCTCTTCAAGACTGGATTCAAGGGCTTGCTACCCAACGGAGCGGGATTGGCATTTAAGAACTAGCCCACCACATCCAAGTTAGGGCAAACATATTTTTTTCTTAAAGAGAGCATTTCCACACACCCCACCCATACACCCCACCAAAGAAATGTGCACGCCAGTTTAGCAATATTGCGTGCAGAGGCAAAGTGTTTCTTTTCCAATCTAGCCCAACACACACACACGTCCAACAGTCGAACGACCCAACCACAGAGCACACAATTCGTGCACAACAGGAGCAATAAAACATGCACATCCATATTTCACTTTTCCCTTGCATTGCTTCATTTTGGCTTCTTCTAGTCATACAGGAAGCAATCACGCCACCGAAATGACAAGGCACCAACAGCAATGCAGGGAAAAATGAAACCAGCAATTCCTACCAACTCCCAAGAGCGAATCAGGTAAGGGCAGGGTGCAGATGCAGCAGGTAATAGGTTGTAGGTTACTTCCAAACCGGACAAACAGAGCACAGAGACCCAGGTAGGTACCTACCAACAGAGGGCTGGCCCCAGTGAAGGAGGGTGCACAACTCGTTTGCATCAAACACATTCATTCAGGTTGTGAAATGTTGCGGACAGACCTAGAACCGTAGTTTCTGCTTAGAGCAGGATTTCGCTCAGAATTTTTGAGAGTTTTAACAAAGTTTTCTTCATGCCTCTCTCCCTCGTTTGGTACATAGATTCGATTTCACAATAGATTTCGCAATAATACCGACACTGCAGGGTCTCGAGCTCCAGCGACTTCGGAGCGTAAACCAGGTTAGTCAACACACATTACACGCTCATGCACTCCAATCACTGCTCATCAGAGAATCTGGAATTGCAATAGCTCATTAGTAGTGATGCCCCAGCATCACAGGGATTCATCGCACTCTCCACGTTCAGCACAACAAATCTCTAGTCCGTTGTGAAACATACATTTTTTTTTTACCCACTTCCAGAACCTGTTCCAAAACCGCAAAATTGTGACATTGGAAGATTTAAATCAAAGCTCCAAGGTTTGTTTTTCTTTATTAGTTTATTATTAGTTTATTAACAACAATAATTAGGCCAACAGAATTATTTTCCAGTGCGAAAGGGCGGCGGGCAACATACATACATGGTCCTCAGGACCGAAGTTGATTCCCAGCAATGTTTGCAGAATGCAAGTGAAAACAGGGTCGGTTCACTTGCTGGGATGTCAACAAGAGAGGACCACATCATGCCTTGATTTGTGATCTTCGGGTTTCTTCTACGTTGGCGCCAAGGAACTCCCTGACCTGTTCGCATCTTGGTGCAGTTACGTTTCGGCAGCCCTCAATGCTGTTTAAAGCCAATATAAATATTATAGACCGCAACTCATATACGATTCTCATTCCACCATTCCCAACTGCTGGACTTCAAAATTCTCATTTTCATATTCAGCATTATTTCAGAGGGGTTCGTATTCATATCCACTTGAGGGCTTCCATGTTTTTGCCCATTTACTAACTTCACCAGATGGAAAGAAACTTAAATTTGAAGACCAACCACAAGAGAGAGAGAGACCATAGAAAATTGCGAAAACAGAGCTCGCATTGAACTTTCGGGGGGTCTAACATCTTTTTTTCGCCTTTCACATCGGCTTGAGAAAAATGAGCCCATAAATTTCATTCTTGCCTTCGCATACCCGCTTCTTCTTGTCCTCTCCGCCTTGAATGTCTCCAATACCTTCGCGCTTTCAACTACCAGGTCCAGACATTAAGGCAGAAGAGAGATACAAAAGGTGCACTGTCATCATTTCCATGGCCGGTCCATGTTATGCGTCTCAAAGGGCGTTTTTGTTTTTGAGATGATGTGAGAAGGGTGTGGACGCACCCGGAAGAGAACCCTTTAACTGCCAGGGAAAAAGAATTCCCAGGCAAGGGTGGCGACAATTTGAGAGAGGCAGTCACGCGTTCCCAAAAGGGATAACTAGTAACTACAGAACTGGAAATCCCTGAACGCGCCTGGGCCACTGTGGTAATTGCACCTTCCAAAGAAATCGACAGGTGAGCCCGTTGTACCCTCCTGTAAATATGTCGGTGTTTACAGTACTCCGGGGGTCAGGCGATATTATTTGGGCTCGTCAACTACCTCGGCTGTTGAACCCATAACCCAAAGACTGATAGGGTTGAGGACCATGCCCACACTCTACAACGGCAACTCCACATTCAAAACGCTGTAATGCTCTGGCCGAGTTGCTTTAAACTTTCAGCCCCTTGCAGCATACATCTCGTCGACCACTGTCAATCTTGGCTGTGATGCTCAGACTAAGCGCATTCACAAAGCGATGAGGATGCATTCACAAAGCGATGAGGATGAAGCAGGGCCGCAGCCAAGGATCGCCAAACATATACAAACTGCAACCGAGCAATTGCGAGGTGGTTTGACGAGACTCAAATCACACACGGGTATCAAGGAAGCGTATCCCACTGCCAGGTAGGTGATTGCCGTGCTGCAGCATTACAGGATGATGAAGGACGAAGAAGTGACATTGCGCCCGGTGTTGTTTGGGGGTGCCATACGCATCAAAAGACAGAATCCATATAATAAACAAGTGAGGCAACAGAAAAGATGAAAAAAGTGCAAATACGTGTGGCGTTCAACACAAATACATCAGGAAACTAAGCCCGCCTGTTATACAACACATCCGTCACCGTGCAATGAACCAGGAGCATAAAAAGACGAGAGGACGGCTGGGACTACGAACCGCATAAAGGCAGCGGTAAGCAGACAGTTGATCAGATTACCGGGCCCTCCAGAACTCCTAGCCATTCAAACACTCCTAGCGGTCGTACGTACAGACACAAGGACTTCAGAGAGTCCTACACGAGCCAAGGTTCCAGGTATCCTCCTTGATCTTCAGGAGCACATGCTTACAGCCACCAACGGCAGAGAGGAAGGAATGCAGTAGCAGGTTCAGAAAAGAAACAGTCCCGCTTCTCACACTGCACATGTAATCTCATGCCTACTTCAGCAGCCCTCGTGCGATCACCAAACCTTAATTAACCCCACACTGGGACTACAAACAGAGAGCACTACGTCAAATAAAAGAGTTTATAACCATCAGTTCCCCACTTTACCAACAACTCTCACCTGCACAAGCAGGGGGAATGCAGGAGCACACACACACACACACACACACACACACACACACACACACACACACACACACACACAGAGCCGTTGGGCAGAGACAAAAAGGGAAGCACGCATAGAAGCAGGCATATGACCTCAGCAGAAGCACTGTAAATTTCAGCACGTGGTAATTTCTTGTGCCTTGCTCTTTCAAGTAGAGATTGACACTTACCCTGTATAGTAGTCCTTGGGCAGGTAGACGTCCTTGACGGGTCCGAAATGCTCAAACGGAATTCGGAGATCTTCGGGCCTGCCATGACACCCACCACGAATGCACCATCATTGCGTACCACTTCCGGCCCTCAGGCACCAGGTTGTTTTCTCCATGCTAATTTCTCTTGTTTCCATTTTCAAACCCCAAGCCACAAGCTCAGCATCAAAAGAGACTGATGGGCTCTGCGATCCGAGAAAGACGGCATCTATATTTTGACACACTGGCCCCCATATCGTTTCCAGGCAACACCACTGCGGACAATACGATGATGTAGCTCTACCCAGAGAGAAACCAGAACATACAGCATATTGGGTATAGCTCTGGCCAGACAACATACAGCAAACCGGATGAAGAATGGACTAAGTCAATTTTTTTATTTGTTTGGTTTTAGAACCGGAGGCCTTTCCCTAGCCAAGGGAATGCTCTACCACCTGAGCTACGTGGGCTCACGGGGAAATTGGAGACGATCGGACTTGAACCGGAGACGATCGGACTTGAACCGATAACTTCATACTTGCAAAACATGCGTTCTACCACTTGAACTGTTCCCGACGGAACGGAGGAAATGGGATTATACGCAATAGATTACCATCAAGTGTCACACAGAGAGCGAGCCTCACCACCAGCAATGACAGCCACACCAAAAGGGAAAATTGACAAGGAACGTAAGCTCAATCCCAAGGCATTACATCAGACATATACTTTGATTAACCAAAAACCTGTTTGATGCAGAAATGGATGAACGATTTAACTTCAATTTACTGAGCTGTCTCTCCAAAACTGTCACATGCAGGGATGAAAGGAACATATACGTCATTCCAGTTGTTAGCACATCGGCGAGGACAGAAAAAGTCATATACACATTTATGACCACAACATGCAATCGAAAAATCAAAAATTGTCTTGAACCAGTGGTCCAAAACCATTCATTACCTGATCACCAAACTACCGCCTTCCCCCAAACACAACACACCCTCATCGTGGCTGCATCTGACCTGTAACATCGTTTGTCAACATTGATGATGGGCGCCTTGTGTTCGGAGGATGACGGTAGTGGAATGAAGAAGGCAGACATGTAAAAGGGGAACAGAAAGATGTAGCTATTAGTTACCTTATATCTCGGGAGACATTCCGCACAAGCAAGCTCGTCGATTCATCACGCCTGTCATTCCTTCTTGGACTGGCACTCCTTCGAGGGCTGTAGCTGCGACGAGGAGAGGTATACCTGCGGCGAGGTGGAGTACAGCTGCGATGGGAGGGACTGTGGCTATCACGCCGAGGACTGTGGTTTCGGCGGGGGCTATAACCGCGCTGAGGACTATAACCGCGCCTTGGACTGCATCCATGGCGAGGGCTATAGCTCCTGCTGTGACTCCTGCCCCTCATTTCGATGTCACTAATTATAGGGACACCACACGCTCAGCCCGCAATTGTAACCTGCCAAGAAACAAACACTCAGGAACTGATTAATAATGACCTCTATAATCCAGCTTCCTGATTACTCTCTCTCTCTCTCTCTCTCTCTCTCTCTCTCTCTCTCACACACACACACACACACACACACACACACAGACACGTGCGCGCACGCACGCACCTAGCTTATAAAACAAGCCACTCACTTCCCTGCGACCTGCTAGGACAGGTTCCCGTTATAAGTGATCTGGCGATCGATCATGCCTGTTTCATCAGTTAGGTCAGGTTTTGGCAGTTATGTCTGCTGGATGTGACTGGCAGTACCAAACATCAGTGGGTAGTCTAGCGGATACAGAGAGCCAGGGTGGATGGGCAGAGCTGACCACCGGGGATGACTCCTGATCCGTTATCCTCTGATTAGGATGAATAGCACAAGATGATAAACGAAGTGCACAACCAGCACTACCACACCCTGACCGGCAAGCGCCCCTCTTCACTACATAACCGTCACGCTCCCTTCCCTGTAAACCTTCCCCCGATTTCCAACCAGCACAACGACCAACCGCCACCACTTCTCTCTCTCTCTCTCTCTCTCTCTCTCTCACACACACACACACACACACACACACACACACACACACACACACACACACACACACACACGCCCTTAGCTTATAAAACAAGCCACTCAGTGGCACTCACTTCCCTGCGACATGTTAGGACAGGTTCGCGTTATAAGTGATCTGGCGATCGATCACGCCGGTTTCATCAGTTAGGTTAGGTTTTGGCAGTTCTGTATGCTGTACGTGAGTGGCAATACCGAACTATAAGGCTCTAGAAACGTGGTATTGCTCCTTAAGAGTGGGACTTTCGTGATCCGTTTTCTCCTCTGCCTCTTGAGCTGCCCTGATGGTGATCATAGATGTCAGAACAGGCAACTACACCACAAACCTCTGGGCGAGCCAGCCACGGAACCTCCTACTCACTACCCAGAGGGAAAGACAAGGGTTCCGTGGCTGGCTCGCCCAGAGCCACCCCTCTAAGGCGGCTGAAGGTTCAAAGGGGTGTGCATTCATTAAACATCATCCCGTCGGAGACAACTTCTGAGTTGTTCCTCCACAAGAAAGCAAACACAAACAAGCGACCGTACAAATGCAACAGTACGCTAGTGGGTGACGTACGAACACTTCCTTTTTCTTGCAAAAGATTTCTGCTGTAATGAACTAAGGTATACGATGGCCACAGTATTGCGGACAGACAAAATTGCGCTCCAATGACAAACAGCATCTCCGCATCCAGCGAGAAAAAGCAAAGGAAAGCGACCCGCGAAACATCGGTGCCGACAACCAGAACACGACCCCTGAAAAAAAGCGGGCGAAATAGGGCGCCAGACACGACCCCTGAAAAAAGGCGGACGAAATAGGGAGCCAGACACGACCCCTGAAAAGCGGGCGAAATAGGGCGCCAGACACGATCCCTAAAAAGCGGGCGAAATAGGGCGCCAGACACGATCCCTAAAATGCGGGCGAAATAGGTAAGGCACCACAAACACCTTGAACATAGGAGGTGTTGCAGGAGAAAATTCTCTGTGAACACATGGTCATGCTGCCAACTATATCAATTGAAGCCCTGTGGCGACCTGTACGCGTTGGGATCTGCCCTGCTAGTCAATGCTACCTCCCTGAGGACACTAATAAAAGCCAGTTCAATGTTTAATTTTATCGATCGACTTGGTGGTGGAAAAGGGACCAGCAGATCCTCACCGGGACGGAATGAAGCCTTGACCAAAGGGTCATGTGTATATTACGATAAGAATGCTTATGGCTTCCTAAGTGCAACTTCTCGGCGGCCGAGTGACAGAAGAGGCCGTCATTGAATCTCTCTCTCTCTATCTATCTATCTATCTCTCTCTCCACATACACACACACACGAAAGCGATGGCCTCAATCTCTCCTCCTGACCATCTATTCCCAGACCAGTGCAAAGCCTCAGGAGGATGCTAGCCCGCGCACGCAACACTAACATCGATGCCTCACACTTGAGATCAAAACGAGGATCCACACCCACCCACACCATAATTCTGAACATCCACCCTGCCTTTCGCTCGCCCACTTCTATTGCGTTTTCTTTCGTTCCATTTCTTACTCACGGCCAAGGGAAATCCCATCGAGAAGACCTTATTTTTTTTCTTTTTTTTTCTTTTTTTTTTAAACACACACCCCCTGCAATGCTAGTGGTGCTGGTAAGAGCAGACACCGCTAACACCCGGGGGAGACTGAGTGGAAATCAAATCGACATGACAACAGAACCGACTGAATCGATTTGACAGCAGACAAATGAACCAGAGGCGAAGCAGAAGTCAACAGCACCAAGGACGAGAAGAAAAGGAAGTCGAAGCAAGCGGAGAACCCAAGACAGAAGGCGAAGAATGTCGAGCAAGAGAAGCAACCCGACCTATCCACAACATCAGTCTAACAGCAAATTACGGTCATTCATGAAAATACACTAGGGCAAATGTTGCCATTCGTGAAGAGGGGGATGAACGAGCAAGCCGACAGGAGTAAATAGTATCACTCGACGTTGAGTATGCGTCTGTGAGTCTGATAAGGAGCGTAAAGGCGGAAGCGATCCACGTTTCTCATCTTTGTCGAATTTGTCTTGGTTCGTTAGCTTGTGCAGAAGAACACCAGCTTTGACAGGTCCCAGCAACCTTCAAATGTCAGTGTACCCAATCTTCCGTTTACACGCAACGGACAGCAACACGGTTCAGCAGGTCTCGACGCTTCAACGCAACACGCAATCAGGGTTTGCATGCACGCAACACGCATGCATGCACACGCTTTGGCTCAGTACTCGAGAGATCAAGACTTCCCCCTATTCTGCACACCACAGTGCCACCTCCGACCGAGGGTTGAGAACACAGGACCAGCGTAACAGCAGTACACATCGAGAAAATGCGGTAAGTGGTATCATTATTGTACAAGTAGCCGTACAAGCCGCCATAGTCCAAGAAGGAAAATGACAGTATCCAAGATCATGAGGTGTTGACCGTAATGATGATGGCAAGGATGATGACAACAGAAAACGATTATGACAACGAGGATCAGGATGAGGGTTGTCGACTCGCCAATGCACCTGCAGTACTTTTGGGACGTAGAGTCGGTAGCAGCCGTAATCGTAGCTGTCAACAGTGATAGAGAGTAATGGTGCTACCATCTTCACCCGAGTAGAACGCCCGGTCATTATCGCCGCATCTGGACTGAAAGTTGGGCCAAATGCACAGCTATAATGACCGGGCGTTCTATTCGTGTGAAGACGGTAGTGGTGGTGGTAGTGGAGGCAGCACCAGCAGCAGCAGTTGTAGTAGTAGTAGTAGCAGCAGTAGTTGATGTCGCCGTTGTAGTATCAGCAGCAGCAGAAGCAGCAACAGTCAAAGTAGTGGCAGCAGCGCAGCAGTAGAAGAAGAAGAAGAAGTGAAACTTACTCCAGACAGCAATCTGTCCGTCCGCACCGATCCAAGGATCGAGCACGTGACCTCCACGTCAAGAGGCTGGCACTCAACCAAACGGCTAAGTGGACTGGGGTGAAAGTTAAGCCCCAAGATGAGTACTTAACCCCACCCCAGCACGGGTACTCGTTTTTCCCCGCGACCCGGTGAACGCAGTCACACACGCGCACCCAACCAGGGTGTGTAGACGTAGCCACCATACAGTGTACGACCTCACTGCTGGTTGCCACGCAGGTAAGAAGAAGAAGAAGAAGAAGAAGAAGAAGAAGAAGTTTCAGCGATAACGGTGGTTCTTCCTCGTTATCCCGTAGTAATGCTACCGGTAGTAATATAAGTCAGTACCAGTATCACTGGTAGTAGTCGTCGCAGTCGTGGTGGTAGTAGTAGTAGTAGTAGTGGTAGAAGTCACAGGTCGTTACATGCTCGCAGCGCGGATTAAGTCAGGGAGGAGGGCCACAGTAGTAGTAGTAGTAGTGGTAGAAGTCACAGGTCGTGGTGGTCAGTACCTGACTTTAAACGACCTGTGACTCAACCGACCGACGTGGCCCTCCTCCCTATATCTGCCTCTCTCTTGGATCTGCAAACCCTGCGCGCTGGGCGTGCAATCAATCAACTGCTTCTCTACATGGAGTACCAATCGTGATCTCATGACGATGCATCAAACCATAGCGTCCACACACGAACTGCACCTTGCAGAGGCGCTGTGTGAAAAATTGGCACTGCTCTAAGGAAAAGAAAACTAAGTACCAAATGGCACTGCTCTAAGAAAGTCAGTGGCGACTACACTTCGGCCGCTAATAACAACACCGGGAATACCTTTGAGCGAACGAGGCTGCGGATGAGATCAGACAGAGAGGGACATTCACAATCACTCCAGCGGAACGACGAGGGCCAGAGCCCCAAATACTACCGTGCCCTGCACAACTGATGTGCGCAGGCAGAGGTGTAAATTTAGCGGGGGGGGGG